CCTGGATGTCCCTGAACCCCACCCAAATGTTGTTACAGAGCCTTTCATTTTTTACTTCTTACCTCTGTGCTGCATCTCTCTACTTCAGATTACCAAGGAGTGATAATCCATTCTTTTTCGTATAACCTGATCATAATTGTTTTGGTGGTTTGGGGTGAAGATGCATGTGAGTGCTTTCTTGTTTGTTTTTTTTTAGAGAAGGGGTCTCACTATGGTGCCCAGGCTGGCATCAAACTCCTGGGCTCAAGCGATCCTCCCACTTCAGCCTCCTGAGTAGCTGGGACTACAGGTGTGCACTTCCACGCCCGGCTCCTTTCTTGTCTTGGTCACTTTGTGTACTCTGCCCATGTCTTTCCACAGGTCTGCTCCAGCTCAGCCACCCGCTGAAGGGACAGAAGGGACTGCCCCAGGTGGGGGTCCCCCTGGCCCTCCTCCTAACACGACCAGTAACAGACGACTACAGCAAACTCAGGCACAAGTGGAGGAGGTAGGTGATAGCTGTTTCTCTGAGAGTTTCCAAATCACAGGAGTTTGGAAATAATAGGGAACGTCTTATCTGTTCTCCAAAGGGCCTGAGAGGCAAAGCACCCTTTAGAGTTGCACAGGGCCAGACTTGTGATTCTCTGGTTGTTGTTCTTTCCTCTGTCTCTGGCAGGAAGCTTAGCAGCTTTGTTTCTGTGCTCTCCTCAGGTGGTGGACATCATGCGTGTGAACGTGGACAAGGTCCTGGAGAGGGACCAGAAGCTGTCAGAGCTGGATGACCGAGCTGATGCCTTGCAGGCGGGAGCATCACAATTTGAGAGCAGTGCTGCAAAGCTAAAGAGGAAGTATTGGTGGAAGAACTGCAAGGTGAATTTTTTTGTCCCGTCCTTCTTCTTTTCCTGGGCTTCCACTGGGAGAAGGCAAGCAAACCCTCAGCTTCTACGTTTCTTTCCTCTAATGGCGCAGGATCTCTCTGACCCGCATAGCTTGGAAGGAAATCTGGAAAGCCTCCTCTTGAGATTGCATTACCCAGAATTGGCCACCAGGGTAGGCTAGAGTATTCAGAACTGCTGCCGGAGAAAAAAGGGATACCCTGAGGAGTTTGAATCGTCAGTTAAGGAGCTTTTCCCCAAAGCAGTTGCTTGCCAAAATTTTCACCTGTCCCATTCTCAGACACACCCAACATTAGCACAATGGCTCAGGCACTTTTTTTTCTTTTTCTTTTAAATTAGCTTTCTCAGGTTGAAATATATATTTTAAAAATAACTGCAACTTTTGGGAATGAGCCGAACATTTCACAATGAAAAATTGAACCAATTGGTTAAATACCCAGAGTCTGTATCTCTATTGGAATGCCTTCTAAAGCCCCAAGACACTAGGAACGAAGCAAAAAGGAGCCCAGTGCAGGTCCTGTGAGGAATCTGAACAGCTACAGACGTGCTGGGGTTATGATCCCATGGGAAGCAGAGGGTAGGGTCTCTCTAAGAGGCCCATAGTTCTCCTGGGTGATGGTTTTTTTCCCACCATCCCAAGGATGGAGGAAATTCTTTCCCACTAGAGATGTGGCTCTTTTCCTCATTCCCGGATTCCAAGGGCTCATTTTTTGTTCACATGTTTCCTCAGATGATGATCATGCTGGGAGCCATCTGTGCCATCATCGTGGTAGTTATTGTAAGTAAGTATCGCTGAGGTTGCTGGTGGGGTGAAGAGGTGGGAAGGTCCTGGAGTCTTCTCCCTGCCTGCCTGCCTACCTGGGGAGTGGGGCTGCTCTGACTGAGGTATGGAGACCACTGCTATGGGATCGTCACCTGGTTTGGGAGTGGGGAAGGGCAGAGACAAGGGATTTCTTTGATGGATAAGCCTTCCCCCTGCAAGGCATTGCAGGGAGACGGTCCCTCCTGTTCTGAGGAAGTGGGGCTATGCTGTGTGTCACTGGCTTGGGTTGGAGGGAGACTGTGGGGATGGGGCACTTACAATGGAAAGACCTGAATGTCTGGTAACTTGGTGTAATTTGCCCTCTTGTTTTCTCCTGTCTCTTTCTCTTTCCATCTGGGACTTCCTGATTCCTGTGTCCAGTCTACTTTTTTACTTGAGAATGTGCCACTCCTTCCCTGTTCTCCATTGCCATCCACACTCATGTCCGCTTCCCTCTGTTTGCTCTCTCAACACACTTCCCCACCCTCCGTCCTCCATCCCAGCCCAGGCTTCTCCATCACCCATCCCTCCTTTTTCGTTTCATTCATTTGCACTCTATCCCTCAATACTAGAAATGCTGCTCGTGGCACAATCTAAGTCACTACCTGAAGAGCAATGGCTGGCGCCTTCTCCCTGCCCCCTTCTTCTGTACTCTCAAGTTCCCCCAAAGCCCAAAAGAGTTGGAGGCTGATGGAGGGGGAGGGAGGGGAGTGGCTGAGGCGAAGTGTCTGTGAAGCTGCCCAGACCTGGGAAGAGAAGAGTATCGGTGCCCGTAGTGTCTCCTAGAAAGGCCTGGCCACTAGCAAGAGATGGGGCGGGACTGGGAAGATGGCAGCTCACTCAGTGCTGCCTGGTCATGTGGAACTTTCCTCCTGGGCCAGGCCTGGAGAGGGTCCTGCGGATGGACAGGAGTCCAGTTGGTTCCAGTGCAGCACCCGTTTTGAAAGTAAAACCTGCTTTTTGTGGTTGTTTCTAATCTGTTCGTCCAGGATTTTCTATGTCCTTGGGGATATTACAACTTTACTTTGTTTTCCAGAGGCCTGGAGAACACTTATAGATTATGAAAATAGCAGGACTTGTTTCCATCCCAGAAGCAGTCCTATGTGTGTCTAGCTGGAAGGAACTTTCTCTTCTTTAGATTTTCTACAGCATTCCGTATGAGGGCACCAAATAATTTCATCTGGCCAGTAATTTTCTCTAGCCAAATAATTTCACCTAGCTCCCAGTTAATTGTTGGCATAAAGAGAGAGAATGCCTGTTAGTTATAGAGAAACAGTGAGTCAAATGCTTAATTTGAAAGTAACAAGCTCAGAGGAAGCCTCTTCTTGCCCTCGTTAAAGAGGGTCCCATTCCTCTCTTCCTATTGATGAAGGAGCTTGAGGCTGTTAGCAGTGCGATCTTTGGACACCATGGAATCCTTTCCTCCACACCACCCGTGCACTTGCCAAAGACAGGGATGAGGTAAGAGGTCCCTCCTGAGGACCCGCCGATCCTGAGGATGCGGAGAAGTCGTGTAGACCCACCAGCTCCGCCTTAGGGGGAGGCGTGACAGTCTGTGACAGGTGTGCTTGTGTATTGCTGTGCTGTTGAGGGGCCCTCTCCTCGTGAGCCACGTCTCTGTTCTTCCTGCAGTATGTTCCCCTTCAAACCACCCTTACCTGTCTGAATTCGACTTTGCCTCCTTTCCCTTCCTCCTCTTTGCATGGCTTGTATATATAGACAGTGGAACCTGAGGATGGGAGCGGCTCAGCCTATCTTGGGGGCAGTTGCTGAGCTTCAGGATAGGCTGTTAATGTGGGATAAACCCAGGTGCAAGGGGAGGAGGGCAGGCTGGGAACAGAAGGGGAATGCCCATGGCCCTTTATTCCTTCCTCCCTCCGGTCTACAAATAGGAAGAGGCTGAGACCATGCTGGGCAGGGTCTGGATGCCCACTTTCCATGCAGCAGCATTTCATTGTGCAAAACCATCCTTCCTTTCCCTTCGCCCTTGTTTCCCACATTCCCTTCGTCCTGCCCCAGGGCAGGACTGAAGAGCTGGAAGAAAGCAGTCAGTGTACCCTCCCAACGGTCCCCCTCGAAGGTCTCCACTCTCCTCTGGGCTCCTCCTTGCCTAATGCAGGGGGTCACTGCTGGAGAAGAACCACCACTGTCCTCGATGTGTCCCAAGCCTGGAGCAAAGCCGTCCTCTTGGCTCTCCCAGCCCTATCACAGGAATCATTCCTGGGTTTCTGTCCCTCTGAGGCTCACCAGGGGTAGTTGGCTTTGTTCTTTTGGGGGTGTTAGCCCCTCTACTTTCTTTCTCACCCACCCTGTACCCTCTTCTGTGTGTCTTTGCTATCCCCCTTCCCTCCCACCACCCATGTGCATGAGCAAATGTGCAACTAAACCCCGGGACTTTGCAGTCAAATGAAGCTGAGCTTCCCACATCCCCTTCTTCGGTTTGCCATGAGACGATGTGGGGTTTCCACTGTGTGTCTGTCATCACCTCTTTGTCTTTTTTCCTAACCCTGATCTCATACTTGTATAGAGTAATAACGACAGTTGTGCTTCCAGCAAAGGCATGTGGCATATTTACCAATTTCATGTATTCTGAACAAAGGCAAAAAATACAAATTCCTACCACTAAACTGGCTTGGTTGTTGTTTGGGTTGGAGTAGCTGGGAGGCTGGCGGGGAGGAGTGTTGTTTCTTTCTAGCAGTCTCATGTCGCTTTAGGTCAGCTGGGCTGGCTTACGTGTGCTGTGCGGTCTTCACGGCGATGGGAGCTCTGCGTGTCGGCACAGGAAGTGGTCTCCCAGTGTTCAGCCTGAACCAGCCCAACTCTTGTAGGTGCTAGTGAGAGGAAGTGAAGACAGGAAGTTACATGGGCATCTCACACTGGCAAACAAGTGCAGGTTCCCTCAGGCCTCTTCCATCTGCTTCCTTCCTAGGTCCTTGGCCCGCTTGTCCTGTACCAGGGGATGTGCCCAGATAAAGCTGTCATTGAAAACCCCCTTTTCCCCATCATCCTCATGCACAGTCTTGGTATGCTGAGTTCTATCGTATTGACCAGGCACATTTTAGAAATCAATAAAAGGAGAAATCTCTCCCTTGCAGCTGAGGGAGTGAGGCATTTGCAGGTATCCTGAAATTCCCCGCAGTTATCTGAAGGAGCAGAACCCTGATTGCAGCTGAGATGCAACTCCATGGACCGGAGGGAGGATGCAGCCCTCTGAGGGTCTCTGTTTCATACCTTCAACACTTTGCAAGTTGGAGCCACCAGGCTGGGGGACAGGGCTTAGTTGGGACCGGTGTGGAGAAAGACAGGAGGGTGGAAAAGCTTGCTCACAGCAGACACAAGGGGCTTTTATTTTTGACAGAGCTGAGTGGTAGCCCAGCCCCCACCCCATGCCCCATTGTCCCTCACTTGTTCCTTTTCCATTTCTTCCAGCTTTGTTTTTCTGTTCTCTGCTTTGGTGCATGAACCCAGGAAGGCAGAGTCCTATGCAGAGCCAGGGCTAGTGCCCTGTGAGCTGGTGCCACCTTCATGCCTTTTTAGCTCTGTGACTTGATTTAGAGTTCTTCTTTGAGCACATGACTACTTTCTACTCTGAGGCAGCAGAGTGACTACCCAGAGTGCCTTACAGTCTTGACAGTGAGGTAGCTAGGAGAAACCAAGAGGGAACAAGCCTGGTTTCATTTTCATTCAGGGCAAACTCAGAAGCAGGGGGCTGTGATGGGTGGGTGGGTGGCTGGCTGGAACTTGGGGTATCTGGGCTTCCACCCTGGTCTGAGTGGGGAGGTGGTTAGAGTGGGTAAGGTAGGCCAGGGCCAGAGCCAAGGGCAGTCAGGCTCTTACCTTGCCGTCTCTGAAGCCCCAGGAACAACAGTGCCAGAAAGAAGAGGCTGCTGGCAAAGATGACTCCCAAGCCGGTTCTCTGTTCTGTAGGCGAGAGCAACGTGGGCAGCGATCATTGTGGGTAGGAATCATCAGCTGAGCCCTCACCTGCAGTGTCTGCTGCAGGGAGGAGGAGCTAAGGAGTGTGTGTGTGTGTGTGTGTGAGTCCCTGATTGAGGAACCTGGAAGAGGCACCCAGCAGCAATTCAAGGTTGCTGGATATTCATGGGTTACTCCACACAGAATTCTCTACCTCTTCCCACTTAAGGATAAGGTTTTTAAAATTGCTTTGCAAGTGAGATTTAGGTTGGTTTATTTGTTAACAGTTAACTGGGCCGGACATGGTGGCTCATGCCTATAATCCCAGCACTTTGGGAGGCTGAGGCGGGTGGATGGGTTGAGCTGAGGAGTTCATGACCAGCCTGGGCAACATAATGAAACTCTATCTGTACCAAAAATACAAAAAATTAGCTGGGCGTGGTGGTGTGCAGCTGTGGTCCCAGCTACTTGGGAGGCTGAGGTGGGAGGATCACTTGAGCCTGGGAGGCAGAGGTTGCAGTGAGCCGAGATCTTGCCACTGCACTCCAGCCTGGGCAATGGAGTGAGACCCTATCTCAAAACAAAACAAAACAAAACCCACAGTTAACTGGGATTTTGTAAATAGCTGGGGAATGATGTGAGCTCGGTAAAACCCTAGTTTTTGGGAAGTTCACAGTCTAATGAGCAACCAAGTAATGCCCAGTGTTCCTGGATGTTTCCATTTCGAATTGTGGGTTCTTTCCTCTCCCTTTCCTGTTTAAAACCTTTCCACAGGCAGAGTGCAGTGGCTCACACCTGTAATCCTGGCACTTTGGGAGATCACCTGAGGTCAGGAGTTCGAGATCAGCTGGCTATCGTGGCTAAACCCCATCTCTACTTAAAACATGAAAATTAGCCAGGTGTGGTGGTACATGCCTGTAGTCCTAGCTACTTGGGAGGCTGAGGTAGAAGGATGGCTTGAACCCAGGATGTGGAGGTTGCAGTGAGCTGAGATTGCACTACTGCACTCCAGCCTGTGGGACAGAGCAAGACTCTATATCAAATAAATAAATAAAACAATAAAACATTTCATCAGCATGCTATGATTCTCAGGAAGCTCTAGCTTGAAGGCCCAATGAGATGTGCAGGATTTCCTGTAAGGGGAATCCAGTTGCCTGTTTTTTATATTCTCTCTTTACCATTGATTGATAGGTGACCTTGGGCAAATTCATTGGCATCTGCTAGTGCCAGGTTGCTCACCTGTAAAATGGGAGTCATAATCCATGAAATCGTACATTTAAGTGCTTACTACAGTGGTTGATTCATGTAAATGCTCAATAAATGGAAGTACCTCTGAAGCTTCAGAGTCACATTCCCTTTTTCCCATATACCCTAGGCTCTAGCTGTGCTGGATTGCTTGCCATTCTCCAAATTCTCTTTAGGCTGTTTTATGATTCGGCCTTCATATATGCTAGTTTCTATCTAAGCTGGTTAACTTGGCTCAAATGTCATCTTCTCTGTCTACTTAGTCTTGTCTCTGTCACTGGACTAAGCTCCTGGAGGGCATGATCAGGAATTATTCATCTGTGATCTCCAGCCCTTAAGCACCTTGCCTGGCACCCTGAGGCTGGAATATAATGGAGTCTCAGGGGATATATGTTAGAAGCTGTGGCAGCTGCTGCCTTGGGAAAGACAAAGCTAGGAGCAGAGGCAGAAGCCTGAAACCAGGACTGTGAACAAAGGGCATGGGCAGCAGAACGAGGCCAAAGATGAACTGGGGGAAGAAAGCCATGAACCCAAGTGTGGAGGTGGGGAAAAGGAGAACACTCGCAGTACCTGGTGGGACAACCTGGGTGCTGGCCTTAAGGGGCTCCTTCAGAGAGATGTGGGTGACCTGGCAGGTGTAAGTGGCACCTGCAGACCCAGGCTCTGCGGTGAGAGAGGAAGAGATGCTGTAGGTGCCTGCTGCGCTTTGCCTGAGGCTGGAGAAGGAAGCTCCAGAGACTTGGACTGGGGATCCACCCCGTTCCTCTCGGGTCCACGTCACCGCCACATCCAGAGGATAATAGCCAGCAATGTTGCAGATGAGGGTGGGCAGCAGAGCCTCGTTTGCCAAGCTCAGTCGTACTTTGGGGGGAGCTGGAGAAAGAATGAGGAATAAGATTACACAGGGATCCAACTGGGGACAGTGGAGGAACCTGAAGCCTTTTCTTCCTGCCAAGATGAGAGTAGATTGTGGATGCTAAAGTGTCCTTTGGTAGTATACCAAGGCGGGGGCGTGTGAGAGGCCCACATGGATGCAGGCTGTAATTTGGGGGGTTGCATTTCCCAGAAAAGTGATAGTAAAGTCAGCTAAAGGTTGGCTGGCTTCTTACCACCATTCTAAGCCAGAAATTTTAAAGGATGGCAGTGATGATGGTCAGAACTGTTCCCACTGCCCCACCTTGGTTTGCCGCTACTGTCCTTCAGGATGTGGTCCAAGAGGACTGGGCTGTTGGAGACAGCTGGCCACAGCAGGGCAGCAGCATCCTGGGCTGGAAATCTTGGTGGAATTATCCTGGAGTCCAACGGGACTTCTTTTTTTTTTTTTTGAGAAGGAGTCTCGCTCTTGCCAAGCTGGAGTGCAGTGGTGCAATCTCAGCTCACTGCAACCTCCGCCTCCTGGGTTCAAGAGATTCTCCTGCCTCAGCCTCCTGTGTAGCTGGGATTACAGGCACCCATGACTACACCCAGGTAATTTTTGTATTTTTAGTAGAGACGGGGTTTCACCATCTCGGCCAGGATGTTCTTGATCTCTTGACCTTGTGATCTGCCCGCCTCGGCCTCACAAAGTGCTGGGATTACAGGCATGAGCCACTACGCCCAGCTGGGACTCCTTACCTAATGCCATCTGTGTTTCGAGGGTGAAGATGGCATTTAACTTATGGGAATGAAGCCTGCTTCTCAGGAAATCACTCTTGCGTTTGGGTCCCAACCTGGAAACGCTCCCAGTAGGCATTTTCTATCCCCCTCCCTGGGATAACTGTGTCCTGGCCTCACCTTGGATGTTGAGCTGGATGATCTGCTGAGCTCTGTGCAGAGAGGTGGTGATCTGGCAAACATAGGTCCCCTCATCCTGTAGAGTGAGGCTGGGCAGTGTGAGGGAGGCATCCCCGGCCATGCCCACCTGCTCAGGCTCCAGGGTAGCGCCCTTCCGCCCAGCCTGCCCCTGCCCTTTGGTCCATCTGTACACCATCTGACCCTTGCCCTTGTGCTGCAGCCGCCACTCCACATTGATGAGGTCCAAGCCTGGTGCCATGGAGAAGCCACAGTCCAAGGAGGCTGAGGACCCCAGTAGGAAGCTCAGGGATTGGGTCTGTGTCATCACCTGGAACTCCACTGTGAAGGGGAAAAGAGGGGTGATTTGTGGGCCACTTCCTCCTTGAGGTCACCTGATCTCTAAGCTGTGGGCGTGTTATGGGCATACACCTGCCTCTTCCTCCTTGCCTGGCAGTGAGGCCAGTTGAGCTTATTTTCCATCACATGGAACCACAAAGAAATGGGGCTCTAGAAAGGCAGCATGGTACACATGGTGGCCTTTACCATCTGGGGATCACTTACCCCTAGGATAATCTAGTGAAAGCTGTGGATCTCTCACCAGGAAATACACATGCAAAATTAAGAGTTACCATCAATCTTCAGGTAAGAACTACTGGAATAGCCGAAAGAGCTCTGAAACCCTGGTTGTTCCACTTACTGGCTCTGTGACCTTTGACAATCACTTAGTGTTACAAAGCTCACCGTTTAAGCAAGGATACCGTGAAGACTAGGAACAAGAGTTTAAAAAGCACGTAGTAGTAGTGTCTGTGCCAAACGTGCTTAACCTAAATCCAGTCATGAGGAAAACGATCAGACGAATCTAAATGGTGGGATATTCTACAAGACCGCTAGCCTGGACCCTTCAAAGACATCAATTCTGTGAAAAAATGCTCTAGATTAAAGCAAGGAACAGCACAACTAAATGCAGTGCATGATTCTTCTTTCAATTGTGTACTTAGAAAAAGAAAGCAGTAAAAAACATTATTGGGACAAGTGGAGAAATTTGAATTTGGAGACATTCAATTAATTATTATTTTTTAAGAGACAGGGTCTCAGGTCAGGCACAGTGGCTCACACCTGTAATCCCAGCACTTTGGGAGGCCAAGGTGGGTGGATCACCTGAGATCAGGAGTTCAAGAAGAGCCTGGCCAACATGGTAAAATCCCATCTCTACTAAAAATATACAATTAGCCAGATATGCCAAGTGCAGTGACGCACACCTGTAATCCCAGCACTTTGGGAGGCCGATGTGGGTAGATCACAAGGTCAGGAGATCGAGATTATCCTGGTTGACATGGTGAAACCCCATCTCTACCGAGAATACAAAAATTAGCTGGGTGTGTTAGCGTGCGCCTGTAGTCCTAGCTACTTGGGAGGCTGAGGCAGGAGAATCGCTTGAACCCGGGAGGTGGAGGTTTCAGTAAGCCAAGATCTCGCCACTGCACTCCAGCCTGATGAAAGAGCAAGAATCTATTAAAAAAAAAAAATTAGCTGGGTGTGGTGGTGGGCACCTGTAATCCCAGCTACTTGGGAGACTGAGGCACAAGAGACAGGGTCTCCCTATGTTCCCAGGCAGGACTCAAACTCCTGGGCTCAAGCAGTCCTCCTGCCTTGGCCTCCTGAGCAGCTGGGACTACAGGTGTGCACCACCATGCCCTGGACTTTATAGTTGAGACTATTATTGTATCAATTTTAAAATATCTTAAAGTATGAAGATCAGTGGCATACTAGGCAGTGGTGTGGGGAGATAGGGACAGTCTGCCCTGGCAGGGAGGAGTATGTTATCACTGATGTTGTTCAGAATTGCTGATGTTGGGATATGGTGACACTATAAAGCCATTTGACTTTTAGCTGATTTTATTATTCTGAATTTTTTTTTTTTTTTGAGACGGAGTCTCTGTTGTTGCCCGGGCTGGAGTGCAATGGTGTGATCTTGGCTCACCGCAACCTCCACCTCCTGGGGTCCAGCAGTTCTGCTTCAGCCTCCCATGTAGCTGAGATTAAAGGTGCACAGCACCATGCCTGGCTAATTTTTGTATTTTTAGTAGAGAGGGGGTTTCACCATGTTGGCCAGGCTGGTCCTAAACTCCTGACTTCAGGTGATCCACCCGCCTCAGCCTCCCAAAGTGCCGGGATTACAGACGTGAGCCACTATACCTGGCCTGTTCTGAAATATTTGACACACTGCACTTCCTTACTGCCTGCATCATGGGTAAACTACTCCCCTACTTTGGTTTGTTTCTGACATGATGGTTTGTGACTATGAAGGATTACGTCCTTGTCCTTGATTGTAAACTAATACCTGCTGTGCATGGGAGCATTTGGGGTTCAAATGTTGTCTTTTGCAGCTTACTCTCAGTTCAGAGGAAAATACACACATGCATACGTACACATACACACAGGGCTGCAGGGGGTAGGGGGGAGGAGAGAGAGAATGTGGCAAAATAGTAACAATTAGTGGATCTAGGTGTAGGGTATATGGGTGTTCATTATATTACCACAGAGTGGTTAGAGTGTTCTGGGGTTTTCCAAGGATAGGAAGTTTGCCCCCTAATTTTCTCTGGACTTCGTTGTCTCTTCTTGGAGACACAAAAAAGTGGGGCACAGAGTATTGGATTAATGGGCTCTGTAGAACCCTGTCGTCGTGTTCTCAATTTCTGGTGCCCTTGAGGATGTGCTGAGCTGGCGAGAACAGGTACTGGGTTCACTAGTAAGATAATGAACAAATGATGCATCCCTTTACTCCTGAAGCCCTAGACCAGGCTACCCTTTCACTGGGAGAAAACTGGGTTTTGGCTCAATAAGACTACAGTGGACAGCACCCATGAACAGAATAGCATCATGTGTCTTACTTCTGCATGGCATCCCAGTGAGAGGCAAATGAGCTCCATTTTGGAAAGAACACGCAGGTTGTCTCTATGCTTGGACCTTCAGATAGGGGCTTCCAAGCATTCTCTTGTGGACTCGAGGGTTTTTTGTTTTTTTTTTTTTGAGACGGAGTCTCGCTAAGCCTTCCAAGCTGGAGTACAGTGGCGAGATCTTGGCTCACTGCAACCTCCACCTTCCGGGTTCAAGCACTTCTCCTGCCTCAGCCTCCCGAGTTGCTGGGATTACAGGTACCTGCCACCACACCTGGCTAATTTTGGTTATTAGTAGAGATAAGGTTTCACCATGTTGGCCAGGCTGGTCTCAGACTCCTGACCTCAGGTGATCCACTGGGCTCAGTCTCTGAAAGCTCTGGGATTACAGGCGTGAGCCATCGTGCCTGGCCTTGCTTTTCATTTTCTTACCTGCAGTTCCCACAGTCCCCTGGGGGTTCAGGGGGAAGTTCAGCATCGGTTGACGGAAAGCATCATCCTCAGCATCACTGAGAGCCTTCATCACCATGGAGATACTTGGTCCCTCTTCAGAGACCTGCACGTTGGCCATGAACCAAGCTGTTGGCTCAACAGTGGCCTCTCTCGTCTGGGGAAAGTAGCGGGAGATCTCACAGGTCACCTCCTTTCCGCTGCAGTCAGCATGGAGCAAGGCCTCGGCCTGGGGAATCTGGACCAGGTCCACTGGAGAGAAGGGGGCACACATGGAGGGCAAATTGGAGTGAGAACACCAGGGCCAACGGGAAGCAGTATGTGTGTCTGTAATTGGAACCTGGGCTGTCCTGGTGGAGGGAGCCCAGGAGGACCAGGGACTTAGGTGGAAGGCTTTTACCTGAGGCCTTGAAGATAACAGGTGGGTCATCTTGGGCCAACATGTCCTCTTGGAAATCGGTGAAGTCCTCCAGGGAGCCATCGTCCGGCACTGGCACCTGCCTCAGCACGAGGGAGGCCCTGCCTCTGTTCTCACTGCTGGCAAGAGCTGTATGGTGCTGACCGTCCTTCACCAGGAAGCAGTCTAGGACCACGTCCACTGCCCGCCACTGCCTCTCTGCTGTGTGAGGCTCTGCAGACAAAGGCTGGGGTGAGCACCCTCTTGCCCTCCAGGATCCTAGCTGTCTCTGTGGCCCTCTATTCTCTCGTCCCCCAAACCAGCTTTTTGGAGAGCACCTGCTAGTACAGGCAAATACCTCTTGGTGTGAGTTATTAAGTCCTAGATTTGCCTTGCTCAGAGGGGTTTATGCTTTTATTTCCAACTGTTGAATGAAAGACTATCTTTTCAGTCGAAAGAATTCTCAGAAGAAAAGCAAGTGCCACACCAGGGAGAGGAGACCGAACACTTGGGGTCGCTGGGGCACTGACAGCCTGCACTGCTTTCTCCCATTACGGGTAGCCTTCCCCTCCCCTGCCTTCAAGGTCGCCTTCCAAGTGATTTCCTGGCCTGAGGAGTCCCCTTCTCTTCTGAAGTATCAACTACCAGGCCAGTGCCCTCTCCGTAGGACAGTGGCTCCTGACCATCGCCACAGAGGCAGCCCCTCTTTAGCCTTTTCCCTTTGGAGTGTCCAGCCTCCCTCCCCACATACTATTGGTTCCTTCCGTTGTCAGCCGCTGAGCCTTTCCCCTGTTGGGCTTAGAAGGCGATTAGGTCATCCCCCGCCCCTTTGCTCTTCTGGAATCTCGGGGAGGGTGGCAGCCTGGTGCTTCACTAGCTCTTCTGGCCAGCTCTCCCCGACTCCCCTGACTCACTGGTTTCTGCTGCTCCAGATAGAACCAGGCACAGCAGCAGGCACAAGCCCTCCTCCATGCCCATGGAGGCTGCTCTCGAGGCTCCTCCTCGCCCACTGTCCTCCTCCGCAGTCCTACCCCGCTTGCGAGGCTCGGTGGGAGAAGGGGGGCTCTTCAAGCACCCCTGGCCAGCCAGCGGCCTGTGGGTTTCTTTTCTGTTCCCTCTGCTGCCGACTTCTCTTTCACTTTCACTTAGAGCAAGTGTCACTGGCGCCTGTGTCTCTGGGTGAAGCCGTTTGCAGCAGCTGCCAGGTCCTGCTTGCTGTTCTCCTTTTTCTCCACCCACCTCACCCAGAAATCCCCAGGCGATTTCAAGACCTGACTTCTGCACCCTTTGCTCCCCACCAATCCCAAGAAAGTGGAGCTATAACTGTGGGAAAGGGGGATCTGAAGTCAGACACAGGATTCCCAGTAGCCTGGGGACCTTTCTCACCCCCACCCTCAAGCAGGGCCCAACACAACCAGCTGAGAGGGCTCCTTTGCCAGATTCCGACCTGAGCCAGGAGGCGGGTAGGGCCCTGGGATTTGGGACTGGAATTTTAGAGAGGAAACTGGGGAGCTGCAGGGTGGTCATCTGTCACTTTATTTCGCCCGTCTTGTAGCAGGTGAGCCTTTCGAATTAGGAAGTGTGTTTTACAACCAGAGCCCCCGCCCTCCTGCAGCGCAGGTGCAGCTGGCTGGCCTCCGGCTTCCCACCCTCCACCTCATCCGTATTTGTCCTTGTCCCTGCCAGTCTCGAAAAGGCACTCTGTCACAGGTGTACACATGAAAGGCCCTGATGAGGATGGGGCTGCCGTTTCGGCTGCCAGGTTCACTTTCCCTGGGTGGTTGGCGGTGTGGGGTGGAGGCCAGGGCTGTAGTGCAGCTCCCGCAGGCACTGGCTCAGGGGGAGGAGGTAGGCTCCGGTTTTCGGTAATCCTCCTGGATGGGGATGGTGCTGCCCTCCTCCTCCCTGGGGCAGCGGTAAGGACAAGGCTCTGCAGGCTCCACAGGACTTTCTCCTTTGTCTGCAGAAGGAGATCCAATGAGTCTTGGCCAGCAGTGGGGGCAGGGAGAGAAGAGAGGAAGAGATGGGCAGAGGGGGAGGGGTGCCAGGAGCATGCCCGCTAAGGGGAGAGAAAGCGTAGGACCGAGGCTGGTGAAGATGGAGCGGGTGGGTTTCAGTGAGATTCCAGGCATGGGCAGCGGGGTTGAGCCGGTGGGGTGTGGTGCAAGGGCAGGGCTGGAGACCTGTATTCTGTTTCTTACTTGATCTATATTTCCTTTGTTGATGGAGGAACAGGGCTCCAGCCAGGGTAAAAACAAGAAACGTTCCAGAGAAGATCACAAGGATGCGAATAAAATCTGAGCTGCACAGGGATCTTTGGGCTGTGATAGGCAGGAGCCACACAGGGGTTAGGGGAGGGTCTAGCCCTCAGCTCCCTCAGCCCAGCCCTCCTGTCACCTTGCCTCTCCCCTTTCCCCCACCTTCTTCTCTTCCACCCCCAACCATTGGCCAAGTCCTCTCCTAATTGCTGGACTCTGCTTTTTCCACTCCTCTTCTTACCCCTACTTCTAGGAGCTTTCTGTCTGGCTTCCCTCTGGCCCCTCCTGTATGCATTCTTTCTAGTGGCAGGGATTAGGGAGAAAACTCACCTGGCCAGTGGGTAGAGGGAGTTGGGGCAGGCAGCTGCCTGAGGCCAGCCAGGGTCTGCATGTGCCCAGCTGTCCTGGCTTCCAGCATCTCTGGAAAAACAGAGACAGAATGAATAGCAGCAGGGAACTCCACAGGGCACATCTGAAGGCCTGAGAGGCCCTGGATGGGATGGGAATGCAGAAACAGGCTGACCTTATCTAGGGGTAGGAGTGGGGAGTACTGGTTAGGGTGTCACCTCTACCCAGTGGGTTGCCTGGAACTTACCACTGACGTAAGGTAAGTGGGTGGGCTGAAGGTGTGGGTCCAGGGCCTGAGACGGCTGAGTGGTCAGCAAAGTGTCTGGAGCTGGATCACACTCGGTGCACTCCTTGTCCCTGCACTGCCAGCCATCGGGACAGGCACACTCGGCATTGGCAGTGATGTTGCAGCTGCGAATGAGAAGACCTGGGGGAAGAGGAGGACCAGGGAGCCTAAGAAAGCAGGCCTGTGGAGACTTTTGAGGTCCACTTGCTTCATCCTGCCTCTAGGGATGCGCTTCCCTTTTCCATTCCCACCCCTGTCCCCCCAATGCCTTTGCCATTGTTATTGTTATTAAAGAAGAAAGTTGGATCTATTGGAAGGAAGATTCATCAGTTCAGACATAGAAACTATGAAAAGTAGAAGGAGCTTACATAAATTTCTCTTATGCTCCTGATACTTATTTTGTTCTTTCTTTTTTTTTTTTTCTTGAGACAGGGTTTCACCATGTTGGCCAGGCTAGTCTTGAACTCCTGGCCTCAAGTGATCCACCTGCCTTTGCCTCCCAAAGTGCTGGGATTACAGGCGGGAACCACTGCGCCTGGCCTACTTTTTTTATTTTTTATTTTATTTTATTTTTATTTTTTATAATAAAGATGGGGTTTCACCATGTTGGTCAGGCTGGTCTTGAACTCCCGACCTCAGGTGATCCACCCGCCTTGGCCTCCAAAGTGCTTGGATTACAGGCGTGAGCCACCACACCTGGACTATTTTTATTTTTGTTTTTTGAGATGGAGTCTCACTCTTGTTGCCCAGGCTGGAGTGCAGTGGCACGACTTTGGCTCACTGCAACCTCCACCTCTTGGGTTCAAGAAATTCCCCTGCCTTAGCCTCTTCAGTAGCTGGGATTACAGGTGCCCACCACCACCCGCAGCTAATTTCTTATATTTTTAGTAGCAACGGGTTTGCACCATGTTGGCCAGGCTGGTCTCAAACTCCTGACCTCAGGTGATTCACCCACCTCAGTCTCCCAAAGCGCTAGGATTACAGGCGTGAGCCATTGTGCCTGGTTCCTGATACTATAATAACTTTTAATTGAAGTATAATATATATACAAAGAGGCACACGAGGATAAAGCTGAAGAATTTGTACAAATTTGGCTCTCAGGCATAACCAGCACCAGTTAAAGAAATAGAAAATAGCCAGGTGCAGTGGCTCATGTCTGTAATCCCAGCACTTTGGGAGGCTGAGGTGAGTGGATTATTTGAGCTCAGGAATTCAAGACCAGCCTGGCCAACATAGTGAAACCCCATCTCTACAAAAAATACAAAAATTAGCTGGGCATGGTGGCACATGCCTGTAGTCCCAGCTACTGGGGAGGCTGAGGTGGGAGGATCGCTTGAGCCCATGAGGCAAAGGTTGCAGTGAGCTGAGATCATGACACTGCACTCCAGTCTGGGTGACAGAGTGAAACCCTGTCTCAAACACCACCAACAAAAACCAAAGTACATTAGAGATTTCCGGGGGCTAGAGATGGGGACGAGGATGGTGGGAAGAGATGGGGAGTAATTGCTAAGGGGTATGGGTTTCTTTGGGGTGACGAAAATGTTATAGAATTAGATAGTGTTGATGGCTGCAGAACCTATGAATACATTAAAATAAATAAAGAGTTACTTTGCCTTTTTTTTTTTTTTTTTTTGAGATGGAGTCTCGCTCTGTCGCCCAGGCTGGAGTGCAGTGGAGCGATTTTGGCTCACTGCAACCTCCGCCTCCTGGGTTCAAGTGATTCTCCTGCCTCAGTCCCCCCTCGAGTAGCTGGGATTACAGGCATGTGCCACCACGCCCAGCTAATTTTTTGTATTTTTAGCAGAGACAGGGTTTCACCATTAGCCAGGATGGTCTCGATCTCCTAACCTTGTAATCAGCCCACCTCGGCCTCCCAAAGTGCTGGGATTACAGGAGTGAGACTTTGCCTTTAAAATATACATTTTGCTCAAGTGTAGGGGTCTGATGCTGGCCTTAATTATCCTGGGGGTGGAGGTGGTAGGGCACTAGATGGGCTGGGCTGGGCTCGGCTCGCTGGCAGCTGGTTTGAGAGGAGGGTGATTCAGAGGAAGACAGTGACACCCAGGTGTGGGACTGGCTGCAAGGGAGCCTGGTGGGCCTTAGGGCAGATGCCTGTGTAGACCCGGGGAGCCCTAGGAGTCCTGACAGGTGGAAGAAGGGCACAGAAAGGCAGGTTGTCAAACATCATAATCCAATCTAACAGTTTTATTTCACATGCCTTTTGTCAGGGCAGGGAGAGGGGCAAATTCCTTCTTGGCATCCTTATGGCCCTGTGACCTCCTAATGAATGCTGACTCTGAGTTGCTACTACACTTTGGTTTCCTTGTGGCTTCCCAGGAATTGTGAGCCAGGTTGGATAAGGACCTGCAAGGGAAGAATGAGGAAGCCTGGGACAGTGCGGGAGGGGAGAGCATTGGTGGTAGGGAGGAGTGATGAGAAGGGTCTCTGCTAAAAGGGAAATGGAAGGGTTAAAGAAGGGTTAAAAACAGTGAGGTGCCATTGTTTCAGTGGTATCTGGAGACCTGGGGGTTCTACGTACCAGCTATAGCCTGAGCTCAAAATTCCAGGCTGGGCCCCCCTCAGGCTCCCGTCTATAATCCCAGCACTTTGGGAGGCTGAGGCGGGCAGATCACCTAATGTCGGGAGTTCAAGACCAGCCTGACCAACATGGAGAAACCCTATCTTTACTTAAAAAAAAAATACAAAAAATTAGCTGGGTGTGGTAGCGCATGCCTGTAATCACAGCTACTCAGGAGGTTGAGGCAGGAGAATCACTTGAACCTGGGAGGTGGAGATTTCGGTGAGCAGAGATCGCGCCATTGTACTCCAGCCTGGGCAACAAGAGTGAAACTCTGTCTCCGATATCATAAAAAAAAAAGCCGCCGGGCGCGGTGGCTCAAGCCTGTAATCCCAGCACTTTGGGAGGCCGAGGCGGGTGGATCACGAGGTCAAGAGATCGAGACCATCCTGGTCAACATGGTGAAACCCCGTCTCTACTAAAAATACAAAAAATTAGCTGGGCATGGTGGTGCGTGCCTGTAATCCCAGCTACTCAGGAGGCTGAGGCAGGAGAATTGCCTGAACCCAGGAGGCGGAGGTTGCAGTGAGCCGAGATCGCGCCATTGCACTCCAGCCTGGGTAACATGAGTGAAACTCCGTCTCAAAAAAAAAAAAAAAAAAAAATCCAGGCTGACTTCAGACACTTCCTCATCTCACAGATGCCAGCACTGAGGCCCAGAGAGGGCCAAACTCATTCAGCCCACTCATCTTCTCGCCCCTGGCCGCAATCCCCTAGGGTCCTTCTGCAGCCAGATGCTGCTGTGGTACTTTGGGGTCAATTGGCTGAGCTCCCAGAGAAGAGTCATGGATTGGGCCAGTCTGGAACAAGTGAAGGGACTGAGGATAGGCTCAGTATGGAGCGAAGACCTTCAGGTAGGGTCTGCAGAGTG